GAAAGGGAAAGCAATTGCCCTTTCAGTTTTCTATAACTAGAAAGTGTCTGTAAGAGATTCTAGACATCTCTTTTCAGTGCCTCGTGATCATAAAATTTGATTCAACGTATGGAGCTCAGTTATCCTGGAGATGCTACTGTGAGGGAAAATGGAATAACTATTTTATATATCAAACATTTAGTTTTGATTAAGTGGAGATATTGAATGTATATTTTGTTATTAGAAGTCTTATTCTGTAACAGATGTATTTCTTGTGTTAGAATGCTATTTACACCTCCAGCTGGGAAGAGTGTTATCCAAAGGAACCATTGGAAGTGACATGCTGGTGTGAATGTCCATTTACATTTCAATAAACTCCACCAGAAACCAGAATGAAGCCCTCAGATAGCGAGGTTCCCACCCATCTTAGGGCATATAAATTGTATTAGAATTCCAAGGCAGTTAGAGCTTTACTTTGAATCCAACACTATGGTGTCCATTTATGAACCAGCATTAATAGATCGCTGCTCAGTTCTCTGGCATTCTCGGAGAACACAGTTCTCCTTTGAATGCCTTTTATGAAACAGTTCTCCGAACGAAGGGAGAACGGTCTTCAAACACTGGAAAACGGTCTCCAAACGCTGGAGAACGGTCTCCAAACGCTGGAAAACGGCTCATTTTGCTATAATCTGGTGAGATTACAGTAAAAAATCAGTTTTCTAAGCAGAGGTAAATTATCTCTGCTTAGTTTGCGGTCCCTCCGAGGGATCACATTGCAGCATATATCCATCCTTAGGCTGATTAGAAGGAGAGTATATTGTCTTTTGGAATATTCACAGGATTTTCCATACATATTTTCAATAACATTTTATCATTTTTTTCACTATCATTTGGATTCATTTTTTTCACATCAATTGGAGACTTTTTTAAAAACATTTTTTGTTTTCCACAGTATTTTCTCTATTTATTTTGACTTGGACATTTTATATATATTTGTTTGGATTTTTATTTCACAGTATTTATAATTGAATGATTATTCACTGGTTACCATGTTTTGATATTTTATGCACATGTCTGATAATGATCATGAAGAATTTAATCGCCAGGTTTATTAATTGTATTATTTATATATAATAATCAGGTTTATACAATATTAGAGAGCGGCACCCTAATACTATAATCTTTGCACATATATATGAGGATGTGAAAGGGAGCCTGCGATCTATTAATATTTTAATATAGAATAATAAACTCCAATGGCTCACAAGTGAGTCTATATCCATTACTTTTCAATCTGGCTTCAGCAGTCAAAAGGTTACTGAAACCCATGAGTTTTGGGTTTCCCCGTCAATACTTTCATGAAAAAGAGGATAAAGGTCTACAATGGAAAACAGGATACCCCTATCTGGAGGACCCATGGTAATAGCCTACAATAGAAAACAAGACATCCTTATCTGGAAGACACAGGGTAAAGATTTGCAATTGAAAACATGAACCCCAATCTGGAGGACCCAGGGTAAAGGTCTACAATTGAAAACATGAACCCCAACTGTAGGACCCAGGGTAAAGGTCTACAATAGAAAACAAGACACCCTTATCTGAAGGATCCAGGGTAAAGGTCTACAATTGAAAACATGAACCCCAATGTGAAGGACCCAGGGTAAAGGTCTACAATAGTAAACAAGACACCCTTATCTGAAGGATCCAGGGTAAAGATCTACAATTGAAAACATGAACCCCAACTGTAGGACCCAGGGTAAAGGTCTACAATAGAAAACAAGACACCCTTATCTAAAGGATGCAGGGTAAAGGTCTACAATTGAAAACATGAACCCCCAACTGTAGGACCCAGGGTAAAGGTCTACAATAGAAAACAAGACACCCTTATCTAAAGGATGCAGGGTAAAGGTCTACAATTGAAAACATGAACCCCAATGTGGAGGACCCAGGGTAAAGGTCTATAATAGAAAACAAGACACCCTTATCTGGAGGATCCAGGGTAAAGATCTACAATTGAAAACATGAACCCCAACTGTAGGACCCAGGGTAAAGGTCTACAATAGAAAACAAGACACCCTTATCTGAAGGATCCAGGGTAAAGGTCTACAATTGAAAACATGAACCCCAATCTGGAGGACCCAGGGTAAAGGTCTACAATAGAAAACAAAACACCCTTATCTGGAGGATCCAGGGTAAAGATCTACAATTGATAAACATGAACCTCTATCTGGATGATACTGAGTAAAGGTCTACAATGGAAAACCGGAACCCTGTCTGGATGATACTGGGTAAAGGTCTACAATGGCAAACAGGACACCATTATCTGGAGGACCCAAAGTAAAGGTTTAAAAGTGCAGTCATCTAATAATTTATATAGAAATTATATTATACAGTCACCACATGTTTTAGTTATAACACTCTGCTTTTATCAGGGCTAAAACAAGAACAAAAAAGACATAGAAATTGATTTAGTAAAGGCAAATAGGCTGTTCACTTTGCAAGAAAATGTTTTCTTTGTAAGATAAATTTCCCTTAGCTTACTGAATGTGATGAAGCTCTGCCAACTTCCATCATCCAATCATGTGCAAGCAAAAATGCTATTTTTTACATTTCCCTTGCATATGACTGGGTATTGTTTGCAAAGTGAATTTTCACACCCATTCACTAAGCTAAGGGAAAATTCCTTTGCAAAGTGAGCAGCCTATTTGCCATCACTTTAGAAGTCACCCTTTCACATCAGAAGTCCTTCCCTTCACACCAGAATCCACCCACCACAACAGAAGCCCCCCATCATATCAGAGGTCCTCCTTTCACATCAGAAGTCCTCTCTTCACACCAGAATCCACCCACCACAACAGAAGCCCCCCATAACATCAGAAGTCCTCCTTTCACATCAGAAGTCCTCCCTTCACGCCAGAATCCACCCATCACATCAGAAGTCCTCCTTTCACATCAGAAGTCCTCCCTTCACACCAAAATCCACCCACCACAGCAGAAGCCCCCAAACACATCACAAGTCCTCCTTTCACATTAGAAGCCCCCTTCACATCAGAAGAACCCCATCACATCACAGTCCTCCCTTCATATCAGAAGACCTCCATCAAATCTCAGTCCTCTCTTCATATCAGAAGACCCCCATCACATCACAGTCCTCCATTCATATCAGAAGACCCCCCCATCCCATCACATGAAAATTCTCCCTTCATATCAGAAGACCCCCATCACATCACAGTCCTCCGTTCATATCAGAAGACTCCCATCACATCACAGTCCTCCCTTCATATCAGAAGACCCCCCATCACATGACAATTCCCCCTTCACATCAGAAGACCCCCATCACATCACAGTCCTCCCTTCATATCAGAAGACCCCCATTCCATCGGAAGTCCTCCCTTCACAAAGTCTGCTTACATATTAGAGTCCGCCCTTACACCAGGGGGGGTATTTACCACAAGGCAAACAAGGCACTTGCCTAGGGTGGCATTTTCCAGGGGGCAGCACATCCCCTCAGAAAATGGGATGGAAGAAGGGACACCATGGGAACCAGGTGTGATCTGAGAGAGGCTGCTGACTGCTTGATGGTGTATGTAGAGCCTGACTCTCGTTCCTGGGGATGTCCAGAGCTGTGAAGATGAGTATCTTTCTCTCTCTTGCTGGGGGGGTACAGTTGAAGGCTCTCCCGGGGAGGAGCAGGGGTTTTGTTGGTCAATGTCAGGCTTTCTCCGTGGCAGGGGGGAAGGGTGATGGTGTTGGTCCATGTCCATGGGGGCATACGATCTTTGTGTTCCCTAGGGCAGTACAAAACCTAAATGCACCACTGCCCTTACATAAGGGTCCCCATCAGAAGCAGAGACCAACTGATCTCAATCCTTGAGTCCAAGGATACGCCACTGACCCTAGATGCTGGCTGGATAAAATCATGTTTTGGGTCAATTTGAAGAACCCCTTTTCCAAAATACCACTGCCCTTACATAAGGGTCCCCATCAGAATCACAGACCAACTGATCTCAATCCTTGAGTCCGAGGATACGCCACTGACCCTAGATGCTGGCTGGATAAAATCATGTTTTGGGTCAATTTCAAGACCCCCTTTTCCAAAACACCACTGCCCTTACATAAGGGTCCCCATCAGAAGCACAGACCAACTGATCTCAATCCTTGAGTCCAAGGATACGCCACTGACCCTAGATGCTGGCTGGATAAAATCATGTTTTGGGTCAATTTGAAGACCCCCTTTTCCAAAACACCACTGCCCTTACATAAGGGTCCCCATCAGAAGCACAGACCAACTGATCTTTGAGGATACGCCACTGATCCTACATGCTAGCTGGATAAAATCATGTTTTGGGTCAATTTGAAGACCCCCTTTTCCAAAACACCACTGCCCTTACTTACATAAGGGTCCCCATCAGAAGCAGAGACCAACTGATCTCAATCCTTGAGTTTGAGGATACGCCACTGACCCTACATGCTGGCTGAATAAAATCATGTTTTGGGTCAATTTGAAGACCCCCTTTTCCAAAACACCACTGCCCTTACATAAGGGTCCCCATCAGAAGCACAGACCAACTGATCTCAATCCTTGAGTCCATGGATACGCCACTGACCCTAGATGCTGGCTGGATAAAATAATGTTTTGGGTCAATTTGAAGACCCCCTTTTCCAAAACAAGTAAAACATCCAAACTATGGAGAATTCTATGGATCAAGGAATGATAAATACACAGTCATAGTAAAAAACAAAAATCATAATTTAAACAAAAATAAAAACTTCATAAATGAAGAGGATGATGAATCTCAATCACAAAAAAAATTGTTAAATCATAATCGTTCCATCGAAAACTAAAAATAGATTTGTCTGAGAAGTCTGAGAAAAGTAAAAAAATGTTGTTCTGCATCCCTGTTATGGTTCAAGGAGGTCGTTGAGATCCCTTAATAATCATACAAGCCAATATGTACTGTAAGTAATACTATAAGATGGAAATCTCATAAAGCAGAAAGAAATTAAAATTCCATACTTACCGACCAGGAGCACAAATAAATCGGGGCTCATGTTGCCTGAAAAACGTACTTGCAAATGATGCTAACCATAACAGATCTTTGTATTCCCCATTGTTTTGTAATCAAGGAAACAGGAGGCTTTTTTTTTCTGGCAAGCTATAATCACAATGTCCTGGGAATGTGTGTTAGAAAAAAAAAGTTTGGCATCGTAAGTATTCACAAGAACGTATACATGGTCTAGTACTGCATCTCCTGTTCCACCTAATCCCAAGGGATTCGTGATACGTAGGTCAAATTCCAACCTTGTCATCATCATGCTTGGCCAGTCAGGTAGGAAACATACTTGTAGGCTTCAAAGGTCCAGCTTGGTTCTTCTCCACTTGCTTCTTCAGCCTATCCTTTTTAAACTTCAACATGGTGCCTGTTCAGAGATGACCTTCTGTTCAGCAGATGATTACTGGAGCAGATATGAACGTCTTCTCCGCTTGTCAGAGTCTGTTGGTTTTCTTCTAACTTCTTTAAATCTATTTTCCAGGTAGAGTCCTTCAGCTAATTGCAAGCTAAGAAAAAAAAAAGTGACATAGAATCTCTTCTAAGCACTTCAAGTCTGGATATCTTATTGATTAAAGGTATTGTATAGCACTGTCAATTTATGCAGTGTTTTACATATGTATTGTACATTCACATCAGTCCCTAACCCTCAAGGGGCATACAATCTAAGGTTCCTAACCCTCAAGGGGCGTATGATCTAAGGTCCCTAACCCTCAAGGGGTGTACAATATAAGGTCCCTAACCCTCAAGGGGTGTACGATCTAAGATCCTTAACCCTCAAGGAGCGTACGATCTAAGGTCCCTAACCCTCAAGGGGCGTACGATCTAAGGTCCCTAACCCTCAAGGGGTGTACGATCTAAGGTCCCTAACCCTCAAGGGGTGTACAATCTAAGGTCCCCAACCATCAAGTGGTGTACAATCTAAGGTCCCCAACCACCAAGGGGTGTACAATCTAAGGTCCCCAACCCTCAAGGGGCGTACAATCTAAGGTCCCTAACCCTCAAGGGGCATTCAATCTATCAATCTAAGGTCCCTAACTCTCAATGGGCATACAATCTAAGGTCCCTAACCCTCAAGGGACATACAATCTAAGGTCCCTAACCCTCAAGGGGCATACAATCCAAGGTTCCTAACCCTCAAGGGGCATACAATCTAAGGTCCCTAACCCTCAAGGGGTGTACAATCTAAGGTCCTTAACCCTCAAGGAGTGTACGATCTAAGGTCCCTAACCCTCAAGGGGTGTACAATCTAAGGTCCCTAACCCTCAAGAGGCTTACAATCTAAGGTCCCTAACCCTCAGGGGGTGTATGATCTGAGGTCCCTAACCCTCAAGGGGTGTACAATCTAAGGTCCCTAACCCTCAAGGGGCGTACAATCTAAGGTCCCTAACCCTCAAGGAGTGTACAATCTAAGGTCCCTAACTCACGTTCATACATACACATACTAGGGCCAATTTAGACAGGAGCCAATTCACCTACCAGCATGTCTTTGGAGTGTGGGAGGAAACCCACGCAGGCGCAGGGAACACATGCAAACTCCAGGCAGGTGGTGTCATGGTTGGGATTCGAACCAATGACGCTAGTACTGTAAGGCGGAAGTGCTAACCATTTAGCCACTGTGTGTCTTTACTAGAGATGAGCGAAGTATTCAAAAATTCGATTCGACTGATTCGGCGAATTCGTGGAAAAAATTTCGATTTGAGTCGAATATATTCGCTGCGAATTTAACTTATAAAAAGGGTGTTTCTAGGCTTCAGAGAGCCTTTATATTAGTGCAGAACACTGTACCTTTAAATTAAATGCCCTTGGAGTCTGCTGGGGAAGAGAAATAATACTGACAGTCAGTATGACATGCAGATGAGTGCCGTCGATCTTAGAATCACAGCACACTTCACTCATTTGGGCAGTCACGGGGCCAAAACCAGAGTGTGGAGCCACAGTGTGGCGGTGGAGGCAGCAGCAATGGGAGGCCATACAGCACCCTATGACAAAAATGGAAACCACCAGCAGTGTGAGGAGACCTGAAAGTGGCACATGGCAGAGTGTGGCGATGGAGACAGCAGCAATGGGAGGCCGTACAGGGACCCATGACACACTCTGGACCTGGCAGCAGCATGAGGAGGCGGTACAGGGGCCCATGACAGATTACGGGCCTGGCAGCAGCATGAGGAGTCGGTACGGGGGCCCATGGCAGATTAGGGGCCTGGCAGCAGCTATGGGAGGCCCGTAATCTGCCAGCACCCTATGACAAAAATGGAACCCACCAGCAGTGTGAGGAGACCTGAAAGTGGCACATGGCAGAGTGTGGCGATGGAGACAGCAGCAATGGGAGGCCGTACAGGGACCCATGAGAGACTCTGGACCTGGCAGCAGCATGAGGAGGTGGTATAGGGGCCCATGGCAGATTAGGGGCGCACTAAACACGCGCTCCGATGCCACGCTACTGTCCGGCTATGACAGCCTTTCAAGGGGCAAATTCAGCTAGTTGGGGGCCAAAGGTCAAGTTTCGTTGCCCAGTAAGTCAAGGGGATAATCTACCACGGTTGCAGGGTGCTGTCCAAGTAGGCCAAGCCTGTTGTTTGTGGTCCTGCTCCAGGTCTCCACCTGATGCTGCTGCTGCTGCGGCTGGTTAGTAGTTTCCTTAACTGCGCTGGTGAAGAAAGCTACTCATCATCGACTGCAGACTGAGGCAGCGCGCTGCTGGTGGAGCTGCCACTGCTCCTACCACCCCCACCCCTCCCCTGCTGCCATGGCAGCGGAACGCTGAGCGCACAGGGGCCAAGTGTTGTCTGAGGATGGACGTTGGCGCTGAATATGGCAGAGACCAACTGTACTACATAGGTGGTTTTTATAGTAACGTTATTTTGGCCTCCCTCTCAGCAGGTCGTGAAAAAGGCCTCCATTTTTTGAAACGTTAGCGAGGGTCCAACAAGGTGGACAGCCAAAAAGTCATCCCTCTGTCTGATGGTTATTATTCGGCTGTCGTACGAAAGCAAGGAGCATGTTTATGGGCTTTGTGCAAGGAATCGAGGGACCCCTGCCCCCATTCACAGCTACTCCCACGGTGCGTCGGGTCTCTGTCTCCTTTCTTCCTCTCCCAGATGCTCTGCTCCTCCACCCCTGCCCGTGAGTGGAAAAACCACCCTTTCACCAAATAATTTTTTGGCCCCAAGTCCTCCCTACCTCCTCCTCTTCTTCGTCCTGCCCCCCACGGGGGTATGTGGCGTTGGATCTGTGCCCCCAGTCCACCGACCTGACCAGATTGTTAAAAGCATTTGTTCCCAGGCGTGCAACGAGGAATGCGTTGTTCATCCCATAGTCCTCCCGATTTACGAATAGCTTTGGGCCCCCTAAAAAGGGCCTGAGAAAGCGCAGGTGTCACGCATGAGCTCCCAATGGCTGACTTCAAAGTTACACGGGAGTACCTTTATCCGTTTTAACCCCA